TACTGAGTTGATGTTGATTTGATTCTATTCTAGATATACATAGGTTGTACCCTCTTAGGTAAATATTTCGATAAGTATAGAGGTGATGAGCAACGGAAGTAACGAACAGCGCCAATTCGCCAGTTGGTTGCCTTACTATGTTGATTTCACGTATACTTTGTTTCAAACCCAGTAGAATGGGTGGCTAAGCATATATAGGTTTCTCCCCTTGAGCTAACGAACAGTGTACTCACCAGTTGGTTAACTAACTGTTAAATTTTACCATCTCGGTTTGAACAATTTATCCAAGATAGCACATCCCTGTATATTTCTAAAATATTGATTTTTATAATTTCTATTGAAATTACTTAATACAACCCTGTATATTTCTTAATACATCTTTTGACTCACCATTGAAAATACAGACATTAGATTATGTACTAATTTCATCTAGCGTTTAGACGGCGTCGATTTAGGTACGTCGCAGCGTTGAGCGTCGCCTTGCGCCGAGGCGCCTAGCGTCGTGGTGGAGAGGAAGGTATTTAATACGGCACTGCATTGGGACAGATATACGGTAGAAATATTTAGGTGGTGCGGGACTTGACGAAGGGTGTCGACAAGGATATTATGAAGGAAATAGGGGTGGCAAGCGTCGAGAAGTAAAGCGTCAGAATGAATGTAAGGTAGGAAATACTTGGATGGCGCGAAATGTGACAGCGTTCGAGACGTAGAAAGGTAGGGAAGTAGGGAGTCTGGACGTTGAGCGTCGGGATTAATATTATGGTAGAAAATACTAAAGTGGTGTTAGAAGTGATATCGTAGAAAGGTAGGGAAGTAGGACGTTGGGCGTCAAGACGTTGACACAGTCGGAAATAGGAGGTATTGTAGGATAGACGTCGTTTAGGAAGCTCGTTTTAGGAAAGATACCGACTATATAACTGGATACAGATAACAAAGTGATTGCTTGAATGTAAAATAATAAAATGATTGCTGGGGGCTTTTTCGGTTGTGAGACTTCTTCTTTAATAATGTTATACACCGTCCGCTTAGATACTCCAGTATAAGTATCACATTTAGTGGCTATTTCATCCACATAAAGTGAAACAGTCTTTTCGAAGATTATTAAATACATTAAGTACGATATTTTTTTCTTCTAAAGATAATGCTTTATGTCCACTAGGTTGTTAACGCGTACTTGTGCTTGCAATATTTTCTAATGCACTCGCCATTCTTATGTAACTGTAAAATTATAATATATTTATACCATGGTATAAAAAATAAAAGGTAGGATATCAACAGTGTCAAAAATAGGACAGCCACGCGCATTTCGTCACGCGTAGAGTTTGTATAGGCGCGAATTTAAAAATACTGACTGAGTGTGAGGAAAATATATACGATTTACAGAAATTTCATGAATAAAAAAGGATAATATTTAAAAAATTACATCAAATAACTAAGGATATTATTATGGGATAGTTTAGGAAATAGCTATGAAGGGAACATAAATGCAAATACATAAAAGAAATATTTATTTTAAGTAAGTTTTTTTTTGTTATACAAATTCGAATCCAGGTTTTTAATTTTGAGAAAAATTCGATTCTAAAGAATAGATCCTATGACCAGGATGATGAGAAGAGAATATTCGCAACTCGGAACTTCCCAAATGGGGACCCTGGGTAAAAATTTTGTATAGCCGGAAATTTTTACCTGATTAGGAATCGCAATTGGTGACTCATTTACCTGCATTATATTACGCAATTTGAATATAATTAACTACTTTTTTTATAAAAAAGATGGGATTTATGTATGAATAAGATGAAAACAAAAATATGTTTTAAAAAAATATTTTTCATTAATATAATATAATACAGAACATAAAAATAATGTACCAAATACAAATAATTGCTACATGGTGGGTACATATAAAAAATTAAAATAAATTGTCACTGCATTTTCCTTAGTCGCTGACAGATTTTTAAATCATTCATCAAGTACAAGTCGAATTTTTTTTTTTGCGACATTTACAATTTCACCTTTACTTATACTGCGAAATGTTCACCCTTCAAAGGGTAGAGTCTCCAGAAGAAGGACCGAGTTGCGAATAAACCAATGTGAAGTTCTGCTTTTAGGTACCTCTTTTATTTGGAAGGTTGAAAGTGCTTGGAATATGACAATTTTCCCTTTTTAGCATATTTTTTTAATAGAAAACTCATTTGATTGTAAGAATTTTAATCTAGGGAAAGGCGCGGCCACTGGGTTCCAACTGGAGCCGCCTTTGGGCCACTACTCACTTTTGCCTAAGCCCTTACTGTCGAAGAAAGTGAAAAAAACAATATCGTTCTTGAATCATTTACTTTAATTGTGAAGGTTTTATCCGTACCGCATTTTTTTAATGGGTTCAACTAATACCATACACATAAAACAAACTTTACAACATAATATATTACAAATATCTGTTTAAAATGTTAAAAATCACTATAAATGTTGATTTTTCCCTTAAATATAGCTCAGTTCTGGAGTGCAAGGGAACCTTAATTCATTAGGCGGTCGTTTAAATAATTAAATTTAAATAACAGGAAAAAATCTGAAGAGGCCAATATTATAAGGAGATTCACCTAATAGTATGTCTGCGTTCTGGAATTCTTGAGGGGCCTCCACACGTTTTCTTCTGGGCAAGCGGAACACCGAAGAACAAAATATTTCGATTTTGCGGTACGGACTTTATAGCGGTTCATACGGTACTGCTAGTTAAAAATCCAAAAAGGTCCTTTTCAAACGCACAGATGTGCGCCGACGCGAGTGATTCCCAAAATATTGGCATCAAATAAATTAAACTGTTTTGATCAAAATATTAAGGGTCACTAGCATCCAATTACTAATGATAAATTTCAACATAATATAATTAATATAAATTAAGGAAAAAACGCGTAAATATCTAAAAATAAACGACTCATAAATTACTGCAACGTCCATGTATCATATGATAATTATAATGCGCTAACTTTACCAACTCTACGCATGACGTCAGCGCCGCCATGACACCATGCGCGATATCCCCCCCTGTATTTATACTAATACAAAATTCCGAATCAATTAAAATACATACGATACGGCTATGAATTAATAAAGTCTGACTTATCTGTCAAAATAAAAGATTTATTATAGTAAAAACCATGGAAACATTAAATCTAAACGAAAACTTTTATTAGGCCTATCAAATGTATTAAAATTTTAATTTTTACTATAAATAAGCATTGAAGGATGAGGCATAAATAAAATGTCTACCTCTTGAACCTGTACTACGTAATGTAAATTAAATTACTGCAATACTTTCTTCTCTAGACTAGATATCTTATTTTTAGTCAATAAGTAATCCAACAAATGTTGAAGTTTATTGGACATTTTTTGAATATAAATCTACTATTCGATATTTTTAGAATATATTTCTACTAAACAGAAAACATTCAATTTCTAGCATTTTCAAATGGCATTTTTTATTGTATTTGAATTTACAAATACTTTACTCTTCAACATTAACCAATATTTTTTATTTTTTTTTTATATGATTAAATATTTTACAAATGGATTCTTAATTTCTAAGTGATGCAGCAGTTTTTTTTTTAATTATTAATAAAAAAATTTCCCCATTTGTAGACAACTTTTTCAGATATACTGTATAAACGCTTGTAATAATTCGACAGTTTTTGTAGTAGGCAAAGTGGAACTGATCGCCTTGTCGATTTATTTTTTAAATCATCTAATCAAATTTTACAAGCTTGGAATATAGATATAGGCTCAATGAAAAGAACAATATGAGATTTAAAAATAGATCCTCCAGGGGGCATATTATAGACACTACCTCCGAGCTCGTCAAAAACCGGACTTTGGGGTCTATTCTGTAACAATTCCTTTATATTTAACGGCCTTTAAAAATATTGGCGGCCTTTAAAAACATTTTCGCATTCGTTAATTTACTTCTGTCATTATTTAAACAGATTTCTTTAAGATAGTCCTGTAATGTATTTTAAAAATCCGTTTAAATAATGACAGAAGTAAAGAAGAAAATATTTTTAAAGGCCGTTAAATATAAAGGAATTGTTACAGAATAGACCCCTTTCTCTGTATAAAATATTTTATTTTTACGGTAACAGTCAATAATTGAGTACTTCCTACGTGTCCATCCATACAGGTTACAGGTTACAAATAATAAAAATGACTAAATACTTTTGAAATTCTAATTCTAGTACACTACCAATAATAGTTTTTTTTTATAAAAAGTACAAGCTACATGTTTTTTTTTTTTTTTGTTAAATATATTCAATTATTCTATACCTGGTCGAACTAAACGTTTACCAATAAAATTTTGATGAATATAAAAATGCTGCCGAAAAGTGGCTAAAAAGTGATTTTTGATACTTTTTAATAAACAAATAATTTGACACAGGTTCTATTAAAAATTAAAGACATACACATTAGATACTAAATATTTCGGTTCTAAGAATACAATATAAAAGTAGATACTTGTTTTCATGAAAATGGTTCGGATGGATATGGTTAATACAGTACTTATTTTTACCTGTTTTTAAAGTAATGTAATATACTTACGTTAAATATTTTAAGACACCCTATATATTTGAGTACGGACTATGAATAGCCATTGTTTTCTTAATACATGTATGAATTATTTAAAAAAAAAAATGGGAAAAAGTAAAATAGGCACCTATCTCAAAAAGGTCTTCATGTAACTTATTACGTTTTTTGGTAGATAACTGCTATACTTGCAAAAATGAAATATCTTGCGTTAAAATACATCAGAAACATATCCATCCGAAATTTTCGCTCAGACACGGTATGTGTATAAAAACGTATTAAAAATGGATCAGATGAAGAAAACTTGTCATGAAAATTTGTGATTGGAATGATAATGACGTTGATTTAAGAAAGCTGTAAATTCAAAGGTTTTTTTTAAATAGGTATAAAAACTTAATAAATAAAATTTAATCAAACTTATTGTATCTTGGCTTTGATCAAGAATATTATTGACAATACTGTATCCACCAGATAAACTGCTCCATTTATGATACATAATGCTCCTAGTGCTAGACCAACCTAAAAAATATTTTCTTATTAGATAGTTGTCTAAAAAATATCAAGTCAAGTTAATTCTAAAACGAGCCTTTTTGGACCAGTCCGATTCTGCTTCAATCCTTTAAGTCCCTAACTGCCTTATTTGGACCTTTTAAGGCCTCCATTTTTCCTATTACCAAAATTATTCGCTAAAGTAAATCAACCTTCGAAACATGTATGTGGCGCCCATACCCGTCATCAGTCATAGTGAACCATCCCATTCTAGAATATGCTGGACCTGTCGAAGTATGTTGACGAAATATCTTGAAACAACAATTCTGATGGAGTTACCGATACCAGATATAGCGATTTTTAGTCTGAGAATGTCTAGATAATATTGATAATTAAATTAGTTTAAGATAATTTTAATATAATTTACGGTTTCTTAGTAAATATAAACAAATATATTGTGGAGAGTTAGTAAAGATGATTTAATTGTGGACTCTATTTGGTGAAACGCTTTTGTAAGGTACATTCGGGTACTATGGCCCTGGCAAAAATAGGGCCAACCCACTTAAATTTTTGTATGATAACATCTGTTGACTGATAGATCAAATATTGCATTTGCTATGCTATATCTGTAAATATGGTACATCGCACATTGAAGTTTGTCGCCTAGTTCTTGACCTGTTGGAATGTTTATGTTTGCACCGAATTTTCTTATTATATTAGTGAAGAGTTAATGTTGAATATTTCAACTGCAAATAATGCTACAGGTAAGTGCGTAAATTCGCTTGATTCTATAGTTATTGGGCATCCTAGGCATGGTACAATTTCTGTTGAATGTTAAGTTTTTGACGAAAATCCAACCTTAATTTTGTAAATCTGCACGGACAGAAATTTGGCCCACAACAACCTTATGGTGGGCCATATGTGGTGGGCCACAAGTCTAAATTCTTCTTAAAATTATTATTTTTATTAGTAAATGGGGAAGCCTTGTAGAGGAATACGAGGAAACTGGATAGAAGATATGGTGGCCGAGGCTTTAGAATTCCTTAGGCAAGACAAAATTGCGCTATTCCTAGAACTAGGTACCTTATGAAATCATCTGAAAACTGGCAGTTCTAAAAGGAAGTTAGTCAGGAATGCCTTACTTTCTGTTCAACAAGAATGATACCTCGAAGCACGAATTGTAAGAATAAGAATATCTCGTGTAAAAGTGCCATTGACTCCAAAATCTGTGCGAAGATGTGTATACTAGTTTTGTGTAAGTAATTACATACCACACAAATTCAAAAGAACCAAAGAAATGGCTGGATTTACATGGTATAAAAATTTCTTAAGGAGACATCCGAATATTTCCAGAAGGAAGAAAAGCACAATTAATGAATATAGCGCGAGCTCAAAAACTCAACCCAGTCATTGTAAAGGATCATTATGAAAAATTAGGACATCTAAATGAACTGAGGTTAAAAAATGCGCCAGAAAAGATTTATAATCTTGACGAGAAAGGTTGTAGGTTGACTTTACATCATTCACAAGCAGTCTTAGCTCCACAAGGTGAATGAAGAGTTCATACAATCAGTAATGAGCACGCAGAAAATGCAACAGTAGGTACTTGTATCAGTGCTCTAGGGCAAGCTGAGCCGCCCATGGTAATATTTAAAGGGATGAGAAAAAGGAAACCCATAGTGATAATATGCCGTCTGGATCTGTGGTGGAAATGGCTCCTAAGGGAAGCATGACAAGGGACATATTTGTAAAATGGTTAGAACATTTCGCTAAGTACAAAACTACAGACAAAGTCCCTTTAATCTTTGATGGCGCCTCGTGTCACTTAGATTGTACCATAGTTGAAACCGCCGAACGTTACGATATCTTACTTTACAGCTTGCTGTCTAGCACTGCACATGAATTGCAACCATTAGATAAGGCCGTTTTCCGTTCTTTTGAACATCATTGGGATGTTGAGTTGTTAAAATAATGGAAAAAGAACCCTAATGCGTTAAAAATTTTGAAGAAAGAACGATTTGGACTTGTCTTTAACAAAGTTTGGCAACAGATGATAACGATGTCTAATATCCAGAGGGGATTTAGTGCAACTGGAATTTACACGTTTAATCCAGAAATAATTCCAGAGACAACATTTGCAGCTTCTACGCTAACCCACAAAATATTTCCTGAGGTTGTTAATGATGAACCAGAAGATTCTGATACTTCTTGAAGACGTTCCGTTCATGCAATTCATTTAAAACGCACTGCCTCTACTACGACTCAGTTTTGATCAAGGATCAGTACCTGGTTAGTCAAAATGGCCAGCCATGAATCAGTCAAGCAGTGAAAGAGTAGGGAGCAGCCAAGAAGCAGGGAGCAGTCAACGAGTAAGAAGAAGCCATGATTCAGAAAGCAGTTAAAAAGCAGAGAACAGCCACGAAGCAGGAGAAGTGGGGAGCAGCCAAAAAGCAGGAAGCGGCTTGAAAGCAATTGAGCAGCAAGCAGGCTCTTCAAAATCAAACGATGGAAAAATTAAAGTGTTAAATATCACTATCATCAAGCCTCCTATTAAACAAAAAAAAAATCAGTTTTCAGAGCTAATAAAGACTCTACATATGGTAGTAACTAAAACAAGACCAATGGGAAGAAAGGCAATTAATTATAAAGGCCAGTTGTTAAAAAAAAGATATTTTTAGAAAAAGCGCGCCTACACCAATTGTTGCGAAAGCAAAGATCAAGAAAATTTGCAATGAAAATTTTGAAAGTGATATACGTCAGTCCGCAACTTGTGACACATGGGTGCATGAAATATGTGTGCGACTAACTGAGGAAGATACGAAGTAAAATAGATGATCTATTTTAGTTATTGCGTTTTGTAGGTACATTACTTGGCTGCTAATATCTTAAGGCTGGCGATCGCCCATGTTAATTCCCCGTATATGCCGAGGTTACTTTTGACGAAGCTTTTGGGAAAAGTATACTTCGTAGCATTAATTTTAATACAGAAATCAGTTCATGAATTATGCCTATGGGTTGTAAAGAAATCTAAAGGAACGGAGTTTTTTAAAAATACACGAAAAATGACTTTGATCCTCGGTATCAAAACCACATAAAAAGCCTAGACTTGTCGACGTAATTACTTCAAAACTAAACATATTTAGACGTTTTATTTTCGTTACCACACGTACAACTAACATATCAAATAAATTAAACAAATCGCACTTCAAAATAATATTTGGTTTTTCTGAAAGCTTGGTTTGAAATAAAAGCTAATTATTAATTGACCTAATCGGCTAGGGACAATCCAGATCAAAAGTGGGCTCTGCCCTAACCACAGTTCGTAGGAATTTGTGCAGTAAGAAGTTCAAGGTAATTTCACAGATGGCGCTATAAAACCTTTGTTATTTGTATTGGCCTAATTCGACGATGGTTAGACATTTTTAAGTTCCTCTACTCACTGTCGGGGACCGCCATGTCCCGAGACACCTACTTTGCGGAAAGTTATACCCATCTTTTTCTTGCGCGAAATACGATTCCTTGTGTGTCAGACGCAAACCTTAATTATTAAAGTACCTAGGTATATAACAGACTGTCAGAATTGGTATCAGCAATCTAATTTACTTTCACCAGAGGTTACTAGGCTGCACGGTACTCAGATTTTACCTACACAACCAAACAAATATTGAGTAGTTGACTGCGTTATTAATACAAAAAACAATCCTAAATAAATGGTTTAATTTAGAAGTCTTACTTGTCTTTCGGAGTCCACAGTTGTGTATTTATATTCGGACAGATAACCAAGCCAGTAGTGAAGAGCTGTTGCTCCAACGGCAATCCACATGAATATTCCAACTATATTCATTATGATATCGGTGAATGTCCTAAAAAATATGAAATATATAACTTTTATTTTTTAATAGACTTCAAAAAAAGGAGGCGGTTCTCAATTCGTCGGAATATTTTTTGTCTGCTCACGTTGTCCTATTTCCATAATATATCAGGGGTGGTTAGGTTTGGTTAAATTTGGTCGAGCTATGATATGGGGATCCATGAGAAAATCATAAAACTAATTTTTTTGGAGTCTATTTTTTAAAATTACTTTTATAACTTTTATTATAATACGATATGAAGAAAAAATGTGAAAATTATATACGGGATAACAATTACAAAACTTACAATGGCTTTATCTCATGTACTAAAAATGATATCAGAAAATCGACGATCGCAAAGAACATCGTAATTCGAAAATTTCTGTTATACTTAAAACGCGTTCAATGTTTTTAAGGTTTTTTATTAAATACACAACGGTTTTTAAAAACTAAAATTTTAAATTTATCTAGAATCTAAAATTGTTAGCATTTTAATAGTTAAAAAATATTTGTGACTTTTAAAAAAGTAACTTGAAAAAGATACGATGTAACTCTTTGATATTTCTGAAGTACCGTAAAGTGGGGTTACTTTACCAGCCGGGGCAACTTTGCTTAAAAAACTAAAAAATGATTTTCTGTAAATCTGGCAACTCTGCTCTAATGCAGTTGGCGGCAAAATACTACGCGATCAACAGGTTTTAGGCAGTACGAGTCCGGAGCTCGGTGAAGCGGTGCGCCATATTTGAAAATCACGTGAGTAAAAATTTTATTTTGACCTCTAAAAATCATGTTGGTATTCCCTAGGGTTGTGTAATAAAAACTAATGATTCTTGAATTCTGGTTTTAACATCACCTATTCCTGTGCATAAGTGCATATGAGTTCTATTTCTGATATTAACAGTTTTCCAGATGCTAAATTTCCAATAATTTTGTTTGGCAAAGTTGCCCCACATTGTGTGTTTTCGTTTTGTAGAAAATGGTTCGAACGTATAAAAGAGAAGTGGGTGCACGGAGTTATAAAGATTATACCGAAGAGCAGGTGCAAAGAGCTGTTCTACTGATTAAAAGTAATCAAATGGGATATACCAAAGCATCCAAAACCTTCAATATTCCTAGAAGAACCCTAGTAAATAAAGTTAAAAAAACATGTAGGTCCTGTTGGAGCACCTCAACTAATCGCCCCGGAGATTGAACGGTCCATTGTCGACTTTATAATAGCCAGCTCCGAATATGGCTGCCACCTAACCATGACAGAATTGCGAGTAGTGTTGAAGAGTTATTTAGACAAAGAAGGTATCTGCCTAAGGAAGCTCAAAAACAATTTACCAGGTGTAGACTGGTGCAAGAATTTTATTCATAGACACAAACATGAATTATCCAACAGACAGTGACAAAATATTAAAAAGCAAGAGCTAAGAAAACAGATGAGGAAATGAACAATTACTTTGATAGTTTAGAAAGAAATGTGACAGGAATTCCACCTGGTTCCATCATTAACTACGACGAGACCAATCTGACAGACGATCCTGGATCGTCAAAATGTATTTTTAGAAAAGGGATTAAATACCCTAAACGCACTATGAACTCAACAAAGTCCTCAATATCCGTCATGTTTGCTGCCGTTGCAGATGGAACTTTGTCCCATATGTTGTGTATAAGGCGGAGAGATTATTTGATTCCTGGTGTATCGGGCGACCCTCTGGAACTCGTTATAATCTAATCAAATCTGGGTGGTTTGATCAGTATGCATTTGAAGACTGGGTTACACAAATTGTTATACCGTGGGCCAAAAAAATTGATGGGTCGAAACTTCTAATCGGAGATAATCTATCGAGTCATTTAAACATAACAATCATTAGAAAATGTCAAAGGAACAATATTAGATTTATCTTTCTACCCTCAAATTCAACACATTTGACACAACCTTTGGATGTGAGCTTCTTTAAGCCCTTGAAGGTAGTTTCGCGCCGTATAATAACTTACAAAACCAAAAATCCACGAGACAGTACAGTAAACAAAAGCACTTTTCCTCATTTATTGAAAAAGCTCATTGAAGAAATAAAATTAAAAGACGAACAAATCATTCAAAATGGATTTAGAGCAACGGGAATATATACCCATGTAACAGAGAGGAGGTTCTTAATAGAATGCCTAATAAAAGATTTGATAGAACCAACACTGATATTAGCGAGATCTTGTTGAATTTCCTTAAGCAAGCACCCCAAAGAGAAAGAAGATGATAAGTATTGAACCTGGCAAATCTGTTGCAAGTGAGGATTTCACGACAAGTATTCCCAAAGAAAAGAAACGTGATAAAGTAAATTAAGAAACTGAAGAATATGACTGGACCATTGAAAGTGAATCTGAGGATAATTTAGAATTAGATGAATTCAAAGATTTCCAAAAGCCTCTTCCTCGGTATTATTAGTCATGGTATTCTAACACGTCATATAAAATTTCAAACGGTTTAAAAGCAACGTTAAAAAAATTCATTTAAATTTTTATCTTATACACCCTGTAACTATTTTTGGGTGCACTTTTGTATATAGGTAAGTACGGTTTAATCGACCTATTTTTGACCCAAGAATATGTGGTATAATTTATGAGCAATCTTTTTGAAACACCCTGTATATGTATGTCTTGCTTACTTTGTTGTAAGTTTTAAATGACTTAAAGACACAGGTGTACTTAAAGTGGTATTTATCCTTCATTTTACAGGGTTAGTCACTAAAGTAAATTGAAATTACATAATATATTAAATAAAAGCTCTGTTAATGAAATATAATTTTAACCGATATCATTAAATTTCAATTTTAAATCTTACGTTTTATGATCTCCACTGGCAAAGCAGAAACTGATTAAAGATACTGTTGTGTATATCATATATCCGACAAATATACCAGAAGCTACAATTTCAGCGTCTGGGTTCTTTTCTTCGTTCAAATTCCATGTTCCTCCTACACCCAGGAAGTAACCTTGATATCCAGTTCTGTACAAGATTAGGCATATCAAATTTATTACCTATAACAAATAAATTATTATAAAAACAAATATTGACTAAAATAAAAATATTAATATATAATTTCAAATACCTAATCTGCAAAATTTGAATTGTCGTTTGACAAAATCTAAGAGCTTATTATAGATTAGTAAAATTCTAATTAGTCTAGTCCAGGCTATTTTTAATTAAAAATTATTTGATTACATATTTTTATCGATAAATTTAATAGGTACAAAGTACACCAATCAAGAGTAAAAGTAAACAAAACTCCAAAGCAGGGTTGGTTACATTTTTTTCTGGCCATAATACCGAGTAGGCAGGTATAAACAAGTAAAAGCTAATTTAAATGTTTTTTATCCTAATAATTTTTCTTAGATAATATAGTTTATCGCCAACATTCAATAACTGCATGCATTACCATAGCGATTTACGAAAGTAAATAAACACTTGATCTGACTGAAAAAATCAAATATTTCCCGCTAATATTTATCAACATAGCCATGGACTAAAATGTAATTTTATAATGTAGATTACCCTTGATTCTTCTAATAATGAGAATTTAGATCGCAAAAAAGTTCTTATTCATTATTTATTTCCACTTTTCGTAGCTATGACTTAAATATGAGCTCTAACATAAACTCTAATACTATAGCTCGATAATTAATGTGAAATGTAGATGAGATACTTGTATTTTTTGGCAGTTCTGTAGTTCTACAGTACTTATGCACCAGCCGCCACTGCATCCAGCGTATTATTTGAGCAGTGGTGTTGATAGTACTCATTCTAAATCGTATGTGGCATTGTCAGTGGCATATATGGGTTGCCAGAAAGGCAGGAAGAATTATTCTAACCCAGTTCTTACATTTGAACGTGGTATTTAAACTTAATAAATTTTCCTTTGTGCTAATGCATTAGAAAAAGAACGATTTACAAATTTAACTTTCACTTAATGTAGTACTCCGAAAAGTATCTAAGTGCAACATATGTTACGCAGAACGTACCCAAAGTCCGAGCTTGTCCATTAATAACTTTAACCCGACAAACAAGAGACGTAAGAATAAAAAAAACGTTTCATATTTCCTCGATAAAGCAACAAAATATTTTAGAAAAGGGTTTTACAGTATTTAAAGGTACCATTTCGGTAGGCGTGTCAGGAGACAGGAGACCACCGAGGCGACCCCAAGGACGACAGATGCATGAATGTTACGCTCCGTACATTTGGGAAGCAAAGAGACAGGTAGCCCGACACCCGCAGACAATCATTCGAGTAAACGATCCAACGTTGCCAGACCTAATGTTTTTAAGTAGATCCACTGTTTTTGTCTCTAGCAAATTTTGTTCTTAATTTATTGTTTACCTCATTCTTCAGCAAGTGGTTAAAGAATATTTTCTCCAGTAAATTTTCTGCAGTAAGAGCAGCGTAATAAGCAGCCACTATTGTAGGTTTGTTTTTAAAATGAAACAAAAAATTAATAGGGCATCATAAAAAGAACATGCATGCCAAACACAAGGATTTTGAATTATCTGATCTAAAAGAAGTAGGTACCTATTATTTTTCATTGTTTTTTGTTTCCGTACATTAAGTATATATTAAAAATGTTATTATTTGTTTTTAATCTTTGTTTACTTTCTGATTTGGGTAGAAAAATGTTTATTTTCGTTTCTTATATACTTGTTTTTTTATTTACTACACTGCAAATTATAATTATTTCCCCCTGTATTAAAATCTACTGTTCAGATCTACGGTTTTTTTTTTCACCCATACTGTTCCAGCACCTGGCAACACTGCCTAGATCGAAAGAAATTTCCAAATACAAGCCATGTCTGAGGACAGTGACCTCGAGTGCGACACGCAGCGAACGCTTTGCCCGGAGACCGATCCAAAGTGTCGTCAAGAAGTGTCGCGCCGTGCGAAATGTGTTTCATATAATTGTATGTATTTCAGACGTGAAGAGACCATTCTCGGTCGTGTCTGTTGTCGTCTGTCGCGTCGGTTATCATCTGTCGTGCCTACCGAAATGGTACCTCAAAAGATATGATAGTGAAATATTCGAAATTACCGATAAATAAACATTTATTTTGTTAGTTTTGATTTTGTTGAATAGATAGAGACAAAAACTATGGAAGAAGTAAATGAAGTGTTTGAATTAGTGCAAAGTTCCAAGGGTCGTAAAATAGTTTTATATTCGGGATATCAACATTATCTGAATAGGCCAGTCAATAAAGATAATCAATTCATATTAATTACAAAAGTTTTCAAACTTTGTTGGATTATTTATTAAATTGAAATAATTGTAAATTTAATTTTGCAACTTTTTCTGAGGTTAGGAATATATTAATACTTGCAAAAAATTAAAATTCATCATAACTTTCTAAAAAAAAATGCAAAAATGCTGCAAACTTAAAGCCACTTAAAAGTTCCACCCCCTTATCATCGTTATTCATTGAGATATCAGATTATTATTATTTTTTTTTTTTGAAAGACTGACCAAATACTTTCTTACGATGGATTCAATTATTCTGTGACGTCATGGCTTACTTCCGGTTTTTCCGGAAATAACAGAAAATCGCTATTTTACAAAAAAAACAAGTTCCTGACTTTCAAAAAAGTTGCAAATCTGATAATAAATAATACAATATACAGGGTGGGCCACTTCAAAGTTCCACCCCCCCTTATCTCCGTTATTAATTGAGATATCGAAATAATTTTTGTTTTGTTTGAAAGACTGAAACAAATACTTTCTTATGATTAATTTAATTATTCTGTGACGTCATGGCTTACTTCCGGTTTTTCCGGAAATAACAGAAAATCACAATTTATTTTCGATTTTTAAATTGAAACCGACTTTTTTTATTGTAAATTTGAATTTCTGGGACATTTTTGTACAATAATCCTGTATTGAAAATTTTCTGACAGCTGTCAAAATGGCCGCCATATTGGATAATATTTTTTCTAAACATGTTACCAATAATTCGTTTATGGAAAAAATATAGAAAAGTATGATCTTTATAAAATCTTTGTTATCTTCAAAATTCCCATTGAGGCCCATTTACCGTATACTAGTGGCGTATCAGAGCATTTTTATTATTAGCAAACTGTTTAATAATTCCATCCGCTTTTATCTTCGTTGTAAATTGAAATATTGAAACTAAAACTTTTTTTTAAAAGCTTGGAGCAAATACTGTCATATATTGGATTCAATTGGTCTGCGGCGTCATGGCTTACCTACTTTCAGTTTTTCGGAAATAACAGAAAATCGCAATTTATTTTTTAGTTTTAAATGGAAACCCACTTATTTATTAAAAATTTAAATTTCTCGAAGGTATCAATGTTTATTATTGTATGGTGGGTATTGTTTTATTATATTGATTCCTTAAAGATTTCTGGTGAAATTAAGCTTCTATAAAAGTTAAAATAAAAATAAACATTTTTTTTTAAATTTAAAAATCTGTTGTGTGTCGTTTTAATTTATTTTTCTACTAGTGTGCGTAAAGAATGTACGAACACTACGTACACTACGAAGTGCATAAAGTTTTACTTTTTTCACTAGTGCATATAGTAAAACTTTTTACGCACTAGTGCGTAAACAAGACACACTTAGTATTTTGGCATGACAAATGACACATTTTAATTCAAATTTTCTTTACGCGCTAGTGCGTAAAGTAACTTTTGTATTTCTAATCTTAGTGGGCAATATTTACGGTATTAGAAATATTGTATGCAATTCATATTTGTGACGATAGTCTAATTTATTAATAGTTTATTTATATAAAACACACTATTTACAATTTATTTAAGACGTACTATTTAATTTATATAATACTTAGACACTAACTAACAATTCTAATTTATTTATTACACTTTAACTTTTCATTCCAATACTCTGAACTAAACTAAAACGGCCCGACGATGAGTCGGCTATTTATATTAAGTCCAACTCTGCTACTGGAAGTCTCCAGATGCTCTCGAAAATTCCACTTCTGATTTAACGGCACACTCCGCCCGTTCTACCCGTTTCTCGAGCCTCAACGGCATTCAAAGAACATTCCGTCGCCTCGAGCATGAGTCGAGGCCAGCCACCTACTCGAGCATGAGTCGAGGCCAGCCACATACTTTGATTTTCTTTTACTATACGGAGAATGGTCGCACTGCGCAGCTTTCTGAGTGCCTTTTAAAAGGAGACAGAAAACTCCGCCATTTTGAACCCTTATTACGTGTTGCCTACATCTTGGCGCAATATTTTTAATAGGTGCGTTTTAATCATCCGCTTCTGCTTCGGAATTGTCGGTTTTCTTGTTTTAATCTGACAGGTTAAAACGACTAAACCGACAATTCCGGAAGCAAAAGCGGATGATTAAAACGCACCTGATATTTTGCTTGCTGCTGTCAGTGTCAGTGAATATTATTTTTGGAGTCACAGTTTATTGCTAAAGAATTAGTTAGCTCACTCGGACCAGTTGAAAGTTCCAAAATAACATCCGCTCCAGGGATACAAATTCAGGATACGCAGAAGACTGCTGTTTTATTGTAGGCGGTTGTCATATATTGTATTATCCGAGTTGCACAGTGAATAAACTGAAACATTGAGATCCAAAGTGCCGACGCAGAGTGAGCGGTCTGATTCTTTAGCTGTAAACTGTGTCACAGGGTTCAAAATGGCCGCGCCCTATGTTGGGCGTGTCGGACCTCTCTCTTGCCTCGTATAGTAATCAAAGTATGTGAGGCCAGCTGAAGGTCGCGCTTGCTTTAGACACAGGGTAGGCTTTAGGAATTTCATGACAGTATGTAAAGGCTTTTTTAAAGGCCACTTTATACACTTATTATATGTATAAATAACTATTTTTTGTCATTTTATTTATTAGTGAAAGTTGACTGATGTAGTGGTTACAAGTGCTGAAATCGTATGAATTCAGTTCGATGACAGATACGTTGAAGAAATTTAAATTTTCAATAAAAAAGTGGGATTCCATTTAAAAATAAAAAATAAATTACGATTAACTGTTATTGGGGTCTATTCTG